TTGGCCCATAGACTTCTTGAGTCAGGTAGAGGTCATCCATGCACGAGAGGAAGCTTTGCGACTGCTCAGATTTTGCTGGGCGATCCTCCCACGAGATGTCCGGGTAATTGAAGTCACCCATGACAACCATGGTCCTGGAGCATGTGGCCTCAGCCAGTTTCTGGGCAAACTCCTGGTCAAGCTCAGGACTTTGGGTGGGAGGTCTGTAGTAGACTCCCACCATTGTGTCCCCTGTGCCATGTTCCCCACGGATTTTAACCCAGAGGGTCTCCAGCCGTCCACCCTGGTCGCCAATATCGGCTTGCAGGGATGTGTAGCTTTCCTTAACATAGAGAACTACACCCCCACCCCTTTTCTCTACACGATCCCTCCTGTACAGGGTACAGCCATCTATACTCGTGGTCCAGTCATGGGTGGAGTCCCACCAGGTCTCCGTTATCCCTATGACATCATAATTATTTGCATTGAGCAGGAGGATGAGTTCCTCCTGCTTATTCCCCAAGCTCCTGGCATTTGTGTACAGGCAGGCAAGTGTCCCCTGGGGGGCTCCTTCCTTGCCCACAGATTTTACCAGGGCTGGGGCAAGGGTGGGCTCCCTTAAGTGCCTTGACCTGCTGGCTTTGCAAGAATTGCTCAGCGGGCCAGCAGTGGCGTTAGTCCCCCTGTCCACCAGCAGGCATATTGATGGTGAATCATTAAAGGCTCTCTTCAAACTGGAGGATGGGAGCACATCCATTGCACAAAACCACTCCTGTCTATTGTAAGGCTCCAACAGTTCAAGGGAGCCACACAGAACTGCTGTATTGTAACCACACAGTGTGCCTGAAAGTGATGGTAGAATTACTGTATTTTGGAGATAGGGGACATTTCCACAACTGGATGCCCTCACCACTTGGCATGGGACCTTGTGTTACTATCTCTATATTCCCATGGCTCTGTCCACACTGCCAGAACCATAATAAATATCAGTGAGCTACACGTTTACTTTTAATTCTAAAGAAAATGGAAAATAAGTCTTGATTGGCCATTAAAAAAGGAATAAAACCCAAACAAAAAACACACCAAGCTAAATACAAATTCCACAAATGAATAGCAATAGTGAAAATTTAGAAAGCAGAAGATAAGGAGATTGTAATCTTTAAGCACTGGATATACAACAATGCTCCACAATGAGCATTTCAATATCAATATTAACTTTGCTTGGTTCCAGGAGAGCCATGCTCCAGCTCAGTGCCAATTCTGATATATGATCCAATCTCTTGAGTAGTGACATGACTATGCTGTGAATTTGAACTGAATGACTGAAAAAGTTCCAAATAGAAGACAGATATCAGGTTTATTTTTCTGTACAACATGAAAGAATATATACCTGGCCAACACAGCAAGTAGAATTTCTCAGTGCAGTTGGGAATATTTCTTTGATTTGTTGTGATTCACAATAAATAAATAAAAACAACAATCCACTAGCACATTTTGTGTATACACAGATGTCTGAGATTTTACTGTGCTGGAGGTATATTATATTTATATATTATTATAGAGAAGTTTCTTATTTGTACTAAAAGTTTCTCTAAGCTAAGTGTGTGTAAATAAGAACTTCAGCTGCTGCAGACCTGTTGGTGAAATCTGTTTATTCTCTACCTACCAAAGAATCAAGCACATCAACCAAACAGGCTACAAGATCAATTTGGGGTGCATACTTTGGGCTTGGACAGACATTCAGTTTCTCCAGGTTTCTTTCAGGAGAAACCATGAGTGTACAGAAGTTCATAATTTTTCTCTCAGAGTATGGCCAGTTTCGAAGAAATATAACTTGGGGACAACCCAAATGAAGTGGCTCCCCAGAGAATCTCTCTTGGGAGACGGAACTTCCCTACAAGCAGCCAGTGTGCTTTGCTGCTTGCTTCTCTCTCTCACTCCCTCAAGGGGAGATGTAATGCGTCAGTCCCAGTCAAGCAGGAAACAGAACATGCCACCCTGAGTGCTTCAGGCTCAAAAAGCTCAGTGCTGAAGCAGTTAGGAGGCATGTTCTACTCCTGGTTTGTTTCCTGCCTGAATCATGCTGCAGCACTTGGGTGCTAGGAAGCATACAGGCATATTCCCTGCCCAGCCACACCTGGGCTGGAACACAGCACAGGGGAGAGGAAGGCTAGAGGACACTGTGCACAGCATAGACCCTGCCTCCACCTTCCCCAGACCTAATGATTCCTGCCTACACTGATTTCTGGGCTGTGTGCTCTAGGGACCCCTGGGAACCCAACATCCTCACTGAAGGCACTTTGCTTGAACTTCTGTACAGGTCAGTTTTTCTCTTAGGAAAACAAACCTGGGAGAGCTGTCCTGGATAATGTGAATGTGTGTACACAGCCTTTGATTTGATTACAAATGTCACTTGCTTGATGTTTGTACTGGCTGTCCTGCCAAGATGTACAATGTCCAGAACTCATACCAAAAATGAAACTATTCCTATGCCACTCAGAGAAATTATTGGTGTACACCATCACATCAATTCTTAGTGATCCTGGTTGTTGGACTTTGCGGTTTAGGTATGAAATTATACCAGGATGATTGCAAGACTTGATTTTAAATTACTGCCTTCA